AAATTCCCTAGAATGGCCAACCGATCTGTTTCTTAATACTTAAACACCACAACAAGATTGAAATACTATAACAAGTAAGCAGAATTCCAAAATACATATCAGCAATAAATTCAAACAAAAACACAAATAATCACACAAGGGACACAAGATATGTTGACGGAGTAAAAAACCTCATGATGAGGAAAATAACTGCGGACACCATGCCGGAAAACAAATTACTATGAGAAAGAATACAAAAAGGTCTTACAAATCTCAACTCACAAGACTAATGCTCACAAGGCAGACTTGCCTACTCGCCTTTGCTACTCGACCCAATCAGCGATCTTGTCTTCCTTCATCGTCAAGAGATGGCACAACGCTAGTCTCGGCTACTCACACCTCAAGACACGATTGTTGATCACCAACATGCATAATGCTCATGAACGCACACATATATGAAAAGATGATGATTTAATCACTCATAGAGGCTCACAAGGAACAACCAAATGAGTTTTTAATATAAACTCTCAAAAAACTCTCTGCCAGAATATTTTGTCGTTATTTTCTTTACAACGTTGCAGCAAACAAAACGGCTAAGTTCATTTCTTATTTTACAAGCTTAAAACTGGGTCAAAGACCAAAAAAGGCTTTTAGCAAAAATGGACTTTTTAACAAATAAATTATTTCTTTAAAACAAATAAAGCCACTTAACTAAAAACTCAACTGAAAAGACAAAAGAACCCTTTTGCTTAAATAAACACCAAACTAAAGAGTATAAAACCATCGTTAAAAACTCACTGATGTCTGGCACTGGATTATGCAAGATTGAAACCATATATCAGTCCTATACATCTGACAGCCACTTTTGATGAACTTTCAAATATGCAAATATGAATGCATGGATGCAAAACATACCTTGGCATTGTCTCTCAAAGACCTACTCTATATTTTTGCAACAAAAAATTGCCAATATACCAAAAATTGGTCCTAACATACATAGAGAGAATAGGATATGTAAAACTTAGCCGTTTTGAATGCTCACAATAGAAACCTAAAGCAGCTCCTTTTTTTCTTCAGAAATGGTTCTTTCCATTTTCATGTAATCTCATCACGTATATACGAAAGTAGAGAGTTGTTTAAAGAACACATTAAATAAATGTATCTGTTTATGTCCATTATTACGAAGTTGAACTTACATGTAATAAAGTAATAAATGAGTTTTTAATCTCATATATGTTTTTCACAGTCTCGTTCCCCTAGTCCATGGGGACCAAGGAGTTTCTTGGTCAACAGCTTTTGGATTAAATCCAAGGGTGAGCAGCTATAATTTCAATTAATAATATTTAATGTCAGTTTTTTGTGTAAATAATTTGAAATCCACCTGTATGTTTTCAACCGTAGAATGATAAAATATCTAAAGGTTAAGAAGATGTGCAAAACTTGTATGTTTTTTGTGTGTCCCCAATCCTAACCCACCCAAAAAGACTAAGTCTTATAAAGACCTCCATGACATTCTAACTTCCCCAAGTTGGACAAATTAGACTCAAACAAACTCTATAACCAACAAAGCTTAATTAGGAATTTTCTTTTGTTGTGAAATTGCGTGGAATTTCCTTTAGAAAGTTTCTTAGCCATTATGCTTCTTCAACAACTTTATTTAAAGCTATATACAAACTCTGATTTCATTATAGACCGTGCTATATATATATATATATATATATATATATATATATATATATATATATATATATATATATATATATATATATATATATATATATATATATATATATATATATATATATATATATATATATATATATATATATATATATATATATATATATATATATATATATATATATATATATATATATATATATATATATATATATATATATATATATATATATATATATATATATATATATATATATATATATATATATATGGGCATACTTTAAAACATCAATTCTAGCCATCCCTCAAGGGAATATATAACACCAACCCCAAACTAAGAGCATCTCCAACCAACCGAGAAGTTAAAATGTCATGTGGAACTCCAATGCTTAAAAATGACAGCACAATTTTTTCCTGGCAATCAACCTTCTTCTCTTTAGTAGAATGTTGCTTATGTCCCTCTCAAGGTATTGCCAATTAAACTTTTGTTGACACCATATGTTGACCTCACCTACCCCCTTAAGTAAATCTCACCAATTAAGGGATAACACTTGCTTGTCATATGCGACATCCCACCAAACAAGGAGTAGCTAGTCATGCCCCCTCCTATGCCTTTTCAATGCCCAAGACCCTAAATTAAGGGGGGCCATGCAAAGGACCCAGCCATCAATCAACCTTGTTTACTCCAACTTGGACTATAAAAGGGAGCTCACCACCTCCAAGCAAAGGATCAGCTGCTACTTCCTCACTTCTCCAAGAGCTGTCCAAAGCTCTCCCAAGCTTTCTATTTCTGTTCTACTAGAGCTCTCAAGCCTCTCTCCCCATATCTCTCTTATGTACAATGTAATCTCCATATTCAAATACAAATACAAAACTATAAGCTATAGTGGATGTAGACCCATTATGGGTGAACCACTCAAACACTTGTGTTATGTGTGTGATTATGTCTTAATCCGTTAGGTACAAATTCACCCGTTAACAACTTTAATCTTTACTAACCAACTTTTTCACTCTCTCACATCCCATTTTTTCACTCTAACTTTCTCTCTTGCAGCAACTAGCTAGTGTAGTGGTACTTTTGTTCTAAGTATTGGAAGAGGTCTCAAGTGTGAATCCTTGTAATCGATTGATGTAAAAAAAAAAACCTTCATGATAGTAGCTTCTGTCATTCACAATTGCATAATATGTATAGGGTTGGCAATTTTGGAGAAGACATTATAACACCACTTGAAAACGACTTAAAGTAACTTCTCTCATTCACCACATGCATAGCTTATAGGGAGTGTCAATTTCGAACAAGGAATGATAACACGACTTGAAAACCACAAGAAATAAATGCATTCGAGTTAGGTATAATCGTTATGGTACCATAATCGTGTCAATCCTTCCTAACCCACAAAGGATACGAACACGTTGAATAATTGTAGTGTAAGTGTTGATATTTTTACCAATCACATCACCATATACTACATAATAACACAACACACACGAACACGAATTGTCACCGTTATTAGTATGTGCGAAAATTTCTTATATACTTATTTGAAATATCTAGTATATTGTATCTGTTAAACAGTGAATACATATTTTGATTACTTTGAAATAGTGAATGCATATCAAAGTAGTGCTTGTTCTATCTCAAATATATATATGGGTCAGGATCGGGGGAACACATTTTTTAACACAAATTTTGGCACACATTCTAAGCCATTAGATGAAGGCACTTTCAATTGCTGAGATTAATGACAAATTGGTTTTTATTTCTTTAATTAATGTGCACTGGGAACAATAGTTAATAACTTCTCTGGTTTCTTCTATTTTCCTGTGAAAATCCTTCTTGTGGCCTTCCTTCTGCAAACGATGAAGATGATGCTCTGCTCTCACACCCCCACCAAAATACACAATTGTAATTCTATTTTCTTTTAATTAACAAGTTTTCAAAACTTCTTAAAAGTCCTGAAGTTGTAGAAATTTACTTATATCAATTATTAGAATGAATAATCATTCATTTTTACTGAACCAAGTCCAGCTACGTAGCTATAAGGTGGGAGAATAGTGCATGGATTGCTTGTGGAGTTGTTTCGTTTGCACCACGGTGAAGGAGGTGACCTTCTGCATATTTACTCTGCTAGTATAATTACCAAATATAGTAACAGTAGTGTTGTAGCTCCGTACGTATCCTGTCGGCAGGAAATTAATTTATTAGAATAAATGACCAAATTTGGTATTGTTCATCATGATTCATGGTTAGCCGCGTACGACGCAAAGGCGGGGCCGGTGAACCAATGGACGTCGTGAAGTGGTTTATTGGATTGTGGAATGTTCAAAAGTAGTAAGAGATTTGAATTCATTCTGAGTTGTCATATATATTATATAATATACTTTTTGTATTTGGTCCAAAGGTCTTGCTGTCACTCACGCGCTCAAAATAGTGCCCCTTCATTTTTTTTCTTAAACAAAAAAAAATGCTGAGGCTTGTACTCAATTATTAGGGTTTTCCTTGTGTTCTTGGACAGAGGTGGGGATGATAAAGCTCAGGTCGGCTCCAGAAACTACAGATATGATGAACAGAACAAGTGTTGTGGCTTCCGGCCTCCGGCTTTCCCACTGGGTTCTGATCATACAATTGCCTAGATTAATGTTTTTATATAGTATTAGCCTCTCCGCACGCGCTTCTGCGCTTGCGAGAGGCATTTTTTAAAAACTTAAAAATTTATTTTAGAAGTAAAAAAGATAATGGGTAGTTGTGTTCCATAAAAATAGGATCCATTATCTGATTTTTCTTTTAATTTTATTTTTTTTTCAATATGAAAAAGTGTGAATTTACCATATTATCCTCTTTTAATTAATAATTTTAATTCTTAATTTTTATATTAACTAAGGGCATTTTCTGGTATTTTGAATGTTTCACCATTCTCTACCTTTTGCTTTATATATATAGATAAATAATTCTAAATAATTCTAATTAAAAAGAGGCAAATTCAAACTTGGGTACATACAGGAGGGGCTCCTTGACCAACGTACATCTGCAAATGGAATAATTTTTAAATTCAAATATTCGTCCCTAAACGTTACTCACAATGGTGGCATTGGTTCTGTCATCTTTTACCCACTTCAGACATTAGGGATAATAAATCCCAAAAAAAAAAAAAGACATTAGGGATAAACCATGTATGATAACCTACGTGGAAAATATAGAAGCTGACATTACGATATTTACACTAGTGCCTTGTTAATAACATAGTTTTTAAAAGAAATAATATTCACCTCAAGCTTCGAACATATCATCATATCTTTATTCTTTACAATTTTATGAAACAAGCCATTTATTGTTAGTTCTTTTAACGTCCCTCCAAATCCGAATTAGACAAGCCATTTATTGATATAAGTTCCAAATCATTTCCACCCACACCACCCCGGCCGACCACCCTTCTTTTTGTGAAAAATGCTGGCTTTGTAGGTATAGGTAATGGCACACCTTCATTGGTCAACATATTTATGACATCTGACATGCTCGGTCGATCGACAGCATTTTTCTCCACGCATAATAGACTAACATGGACGCATCTCAACAATTGATCCTTAACACATGACTCGCCTAGTGTTGTATCCATAAGTTCTAGCCCTGCACCTTCTTTCCATAACTCCCATGCCTGATGCAACAAGATCATCAAATTCATTCATTTAGGATATCATAATCTCACGCCGGAAAAATTTAAACAAGCATGGTATATATGTGTTTGACGTACATAACCCACTATAGTGATCACACTACCATCATTGTAGAAGCTGCTGTTTTTTTTACCACATATGATTTCAAGCATTAGTACTCCAAAACTGTAGACATCGGATTTTGGGGAGAAAATTCCCTCCATGGCATACTCAGGAGACATGTAACCTCTACTCCAAATCGATAAAATCAAAAACAAAATTAGTACGTATAAATATATATGCATGATTAACAACCAAAAGTGAAAAAATATATATATGCATGTTAATTAAGAATGTGTATTGTTTACTTACAATGTCCCAACGATCCTATCTGTATTTGCTTCCAGTTCATTATGGACAAATGCCCTTGCCATACCAAAATCAGAGATTTTAGGGTTCATATTTTCATCAAGTAGTATATTACTAGCTTTTAGATCTCTATGAATTACTCTCAATCTTGAGTATTTGTGAAGATAAAGCAATCCTTGAGCAATTCCTTCAATTATGTCGAAACGCGCCTTCCAATCTAGTAACAGGCCTCTGGTTGGATCAGTACCTAAAATAAAGTTAGAAGGATGAGTAATATATATCACACTATGTACGTACTTCAGAATAAATAACAAATAGATGTGGTTATGTGTATACACTATGTCAAATTTCACTTACAGCAACACTAGATAGGCATCGGTAGAGAGGGAAATCGATGCTATTAGCAGATTAGGCATCAATTTCGTAAATAACAATACTAAACAGGTATAAAGACATCAGCGCGCATTTTTGTTTATTTATGATGATGGCTTTATTCCCCTTTAGCATCATCTACATAAATATAGATGCCTAAAGTGATTAGTTTTTATTTTATTTTTAAGAGGGTTATTTTTTGGTAATATACCTCTGATGCCTAAAGTTTGAGTCAACGCCCTAACCCAAAATTTTTACTCTCCCTCGCAAACTCTCTCTGAAACTTAACTCCCTCTCAAACTCTAGCCCCAATTCTTCTAACTCCCTCTCAATTTTTTCACTCACTCTATTGAAACTGTACCCTAAAAATTCATCTCCTGAACAAAACTCTCCTTCAATCCCTCTGAAACTCTCTCTTTCTTCTCTCTCCTCCATCACTGCCCCATTCTTGCTAAAACCCTCAGATGCTCAACCATTACGATTCACAGTGAGAATCTTGTATGTTTTTTGTGTGTCCCCAATCCTAACCCACCCAAAAAGACTAAGTCTTATAAAGACCTCCATGACATTCTAACTTCCCCAAGTTGGACAAATTAGACTCAAACAAACTCTATAACCAACAAAGCTTAATTAGGAATTTTCTTTTGTTGTGAAATTGCGTGGAATTTCCTTTAGAAAGTTTCTTAGCCATTATGCTTCTTCAACAACTTTATTTAAAGCTATATACAAACTCTGATTTCATTATAGACCGTGCTATATATATATATATATATATATATATATATATATATATATATATATATATATATATATATATATATATATATATATATATATATATATATATATATATATATATATATATATATATATATATATATATATATATATATATATATATATATATATATATATATATATATATATATATATATATATATATATATATATATATATATATATATATATATATATATATATATATATATATATATATATATATATATATATATATATATATATATATATATATATATATATATATATATATATATATATATATATATATATATATATATATATATATATATATATATATATATATATATATATATATATATATATATATATATATATATATATATATATATATATATATATATATATATATAGCACGGTCTATAATGAAATCAGAGTTTGTATATAGCTTTAAATAAAGTTGTTGAAGAAGCATAATGGCTAAGAAACTTTCTAAAGGAAATTCCACGCAATTTCACAACAAAAGAAAATTCCTAATTAAGCTTTGTTGGTTATAGAGTTTGTTTGAGTCTAATTTGTCCAACTTGGGGAAGTTAGAATGTCATGGAGGTCTTTATAAGACTTAGTCTTTTTGGGTGGGTTAGGATTGGGGACACACAAAAAACATACAAGTTTTGCACATCTTCTTAACCTTTAGATATTTTATCATTCTACGGTTGAAAACATACAGGTGGATTTCAAATTATTTACACAAAAAACTGACATTAAATATTATTAATTGAAATTATAGCTGCTCACCCTTGGATTTAATCCAAAAGCTGTTGACCAAGAAACTCCTTGGTCCCCATGGACTAGGGGAACGAGACTGTGAAAAACATATATGAGATTAAAAACTCATTTATTACTTTATTACATGTAAGTTCAACTTCGTAATAATGGACATAAACAGATACATTTATTTAATGTGTTCTTTAAACAACTCTCTACTTTCGTATATACGTGATGAGATTACATGAAAATGGAAAGAACCATTTCTGAAGAAAAAAAGGAGCTGCTTTAGGTTTCTATTGTGAGCATTCAAAACGGCTAAGTTTTACATATCCTATTCTCTCTATGTATGTTAGGACCAATTTTTGGTATATTGGCAATTTTTTGTTGCAAAAATATAGAGTAGGTCTTTGAGAGACAATGCCAAGGTATGTTTTGCATCCATGCATTCATATTTGCATATTTGAAAGTTCATCAAAAGTGGCTGTCAGATGTATAGGACTGATATATGGTTTCAATCTTGCATAATCCAGTGCCAGACATCAGTGAGTTTTTAACGATGGTTTTATACTCTTTAGTTTGGTGTTTATTTAAGCAAAAGGGTTCTTTTGTCTTTTCAGTTGAGTTTTTAGTTAAGTGGCTTTATTTGTTTTAAAGAAATAATTTATTTGTTAAAAAGTCCATTTTTGCTAAAAGCCTTTTTTGGTCTTTGACCCAGTTTTAAGCTTGTAAAATAAGAAATGAACTTAGCCGTTTTGTTTGCTGCAACGTTGTAAAGAAAATAACGACAAAATATTCTGGCAGAGAGTTTTTTGAGAGTTTATATTAAAAACTCATTTGGTTGTTCCTTGTGAGCCTCTATGAGTGATTAAATCATCATCTTTTCATATATGTGTGCGTTCATGAGCATTATGCATGTTGGTGATCAACAATCGTGTCTTGAGGTGTGAGTAGCCGAGACTAGCGTTGTGCCATCTCTTGACGATGAAGGAAGACAAGATCGCTGATTGGGTCGAGTAGCAAAGGCGAGTAGGCAAGTCTGCCTTGTGAGCATTAGTCTTGTGAGTTGAGATTTGTAAGACCTTTTTGTATTCTTTCTCATAGTAATTTGTTTTCCGGCATGGTGTCCGCAGTTATTTTCCTCATCATGAGGTTTTTTACTCCGTCAACATATCTTGTGTCCCTTGTGTGATTATTTGTGTTTTTGTTTGAATTTATTGCTGATATGTATTTTGGAATTCTGCTTACTTGTTATAGTATTTCAATCTTGTTGTGGTGTTTAAGTATTAAGAAACAGATCGGTTGGCCATTCTAGGGAATTTCAATGTATTTACAATTTGAGCCCGTATATATATATCCATCCACCTTTACAGAATGATATAGAATATATATATATATTTTGGTCAAGGAATGATATAGAATATAAAAAAAAATTCAAAAGGTTTATTCCTAAGCCTCATGATGAGCTGTCCTCTGAGCTGTCCTCATGTCGGTGGTCTCGTGAGCTGTCCTCTTGCAGGAGCTTGGTTGCCTTGATTGTTTTTATGGGTACAGCTCCTTTTGCTTGTTTATAAATGTCTGTTTATTTTTTTTAATGGACCATATATGAGATGTTGCCATCTGTAGTCTTTGTAATAACGTGTGATTGTGACACATGTGGAATAATTTTTAAATTGAAATATTCATCCCTAAACGTTACTCGCAATGGTGGCATTGGTCCTCTCATCTCTTTTACCCAATTCAGACATTAGGGATAATAAACCCCAACAAAAAAAAGAGATTAGGGATAAACCATGTATGATAACCTACATGGAAAATATAGAAGCTGACATTACGATATTGACACTAGTGCCTTGTAAATAACATAGTTTTTAAAATAAATAATTTTGGAAATCGACATATAGCCAGCATCTCCTGATAAAGATCAAGCTACGAACATATCATCATATATATCTTTATTCTTTACAATTTTATAAAGTAGTATAACTGAGGCACACCAAATATATATTAGTTCTTTTAACGTCCCTCCAAATCCGAATTAGACACGCCATTTATTGATATAATAAGTTCCAAATCATTTCCACCCACGCCACTCCGGCCGACCACCCTTCTTTTTGTGAAAAATGCTGGCTTTGTAGGTATAGGTAATGGCACACCTTCATTTGTCAACATAGATATGACATCTGACATCGTCGGTCGATCGTCGGCATATTCCTCGACACATAACAGACTAACATGGACGCATCTCAACAATTGATCCTTAACACATGACTCGCCTAGTGTTGTATCCATAAGTTCTAGCCCTGCACCTTCTTTCCATAACTCCCATGCCTGATGTAACAAGATCATCATATTAATTCATTGATCATAATCTCACGCCGGAAAAATTTTAACAAACATGGTATATATGTGTTTGACGTACATAACCCACTATACTGATCACACGACCATCATTGTAGAAGCTGCTGTTTTTTCTACCACATATGATTTCAAGCATTAGTACTCCAAAACTGTAGACATCGGATTTTGGGGAGAAAATTCCCTCCATGGCATACTCAGGAGACATGTAACCTCTACTCCAAATCGATAAAATCAAAAAAAAAAATTAGTACGTATAAATATATATGCATGATTAACAACCAAAAGTGAAAAAATATATATGCATGTTAATTAAGAATGTGTATTGTTTACTTACAATGTCCCAACGATCCTATCTGTATTTGCTTCCAGTTCATTATGGACAAATGCCCTTGCCATACCAAAATCAGAGATTTTAGGGTTCATATTTTCATCAAGTAGTATATTACTAGCTTTTAGATCTCTATGAATTACTCTCAATCTTGAGTATTTGTGAAGATAAAGCAATCCTTGAGCAATTCCTTCAATTATGTCGAAACGCGCCTTCCAATCTAGTAACAGGCCTCTGGTTGGATCAGTACCTAAAATAAAGTTAGAAGGATGAGTAATATATATCACACTACGTACGTACTTCAGAATAAATAACAAATAGATGTGGTTATGTGTTCTCAACCAAATAAAAGGTAGTCCAAACTTTTGTTTGGCATATTCTCATATATTAACATCCTCTCTTCGTTATGAATGCAAAATCCAAACAGACGAACAAGATTCGTATGTTGAAGTTCAGATATGAGTATCAATTCATTCTTAAACTCGAATGTTCCTTGCCCTGAACATCTTGAAAGCGTTTTCACGGCTATTTCTTGTCCCGATTCCAATGTTCCCTGAATTAATGGTACAAAATATATCAGGTATTTCTTGGAAATCAATATAAAAATACTTTCAATAGTAATCATAGACTTGCCTTATAAACAGGTCCAAATCCCCCCTCACCAAGCTTGTTTTTAATGGAGAAGTTGTCTGTGGCAGCCATGACAGATGCATAGCTAAATACTCTTAAATCATGTTTCATCAGTACTCCATCATTTTGAAGTCCGTTGACATTAGTGTCCGTTAAGTCGACCAATACATTCTCAATCACTGTCCCTTTTTGTTTATCAGAGATGAGAATCATTCTATCAATATTATGTTAATATGTACATGTTCTGTATAAACGGCTGCACATTAAGTTTAAAGAATGTATACCGGAACGTAGTAATTTTCTTCTCCTTAGTAAATAGCACACGATCCAAAGCACGGCTGCGGTACTGCCAGAGCCAATCCATAACCACTTATCATGTGCTGCATCTAGAGATCGTAACATTTAATTAGCTATACATGTATTTTGTTCGAAGACGCTGGTTTTATATTAACCCTCCAAATTTAAGTAAAGTATAGTCTGCCACACAAATGACCAAAAAAAGAAAAGACTATTGAAAAGAAAACAAAGAAAAATTCTTGCCTGAAATTATATGTGTAATTATGATTATCTTAGAAAAATTAATGTTACTTACCAGAACGGGTTGCCTTTGGTGTTTGTACAAAAACCCTTGTAGTATTATCAGAGAGATAGTCTTCAATGAACTTCCAGTTTCCACTCCAAAACTTGCATCCAGTCTCATTATCAAATAGAGAGCTGAATCCAATACAGTCACAAGAGCTCATACAAGTGCCCATACAATCACTGCTGCTGAGACTTGTATCGGGATCAGTTGAGATTGTTGAATCCGAGTCAGATTTGCTCATTTGATGAAACTCACCACTTCCTGGTTCAAATCTAACGTGGATCAGCGTACAATCCCATCTTTGGCATCCTCCATCAGTGTTTTGGCCATGGCAGTTACCTGATTGTGCAATATCAACTCCTCCATCAAGGTCAATTAGTCTCCCCGTTGTGGTCAACATCCATTCTGATGCCGCATTAGCACTTGCGAAAGTGAAATAGTCTTCATTCTCATTTGAAACAATTGTGAAATTATATCTCACAATGGATTCATCATCTGGTAATATGAATTTAAATCTGTTATTGTTGATGAAGGCTCCGCTAGTCCAGTAGACCACCCCACGTCGCCTAATCTTCAATTGGCGTTCGCTGGGATCCCAATCAAGAGTGAAAGGACCCGGCTCTCCGCTGTACTCGGTAAGCCAAGATGTAAGTGACCAAATGTGACCATTTCGATGGTCAATACCTAATTTCATACCTGGCAAAAGGATGTCCGTCGGATAGTCAAAACTTTGCCACAACACCCTCTTCACCGTTGATCCATTAAGAGACTCAGAGTTGACTTCTTGCAGGACAAAATTACCAGAATCCAAAAGGGTAGCCATAACATTACTAGTGTTGATGTTGGTAGAGGCTTTTGGAGCAGTGTAAAGCTGGATAGGGCTTCCAGTACCATTATTGAGTGTAATTTTGAGGGTTGAATTGGTTTTTTCCAAAGCAAGAACTGCCACAAAAGGGTATGGAATAGGTTTGTCTCGGTTCGCAATCCATGGGTAATTCATATAATTTTGCTTGCACCAGATACCTAGGTATCTGGAATACTTCGAATTGTTATGATCACTTACATAGAAACCCAAAGTGAACTTCCCGTTCGCAGAAACTAAGAAGCTGGAGTAATCTAGAGTCTCACCTGGTTTAAGTGTATCCGTGCCGCTTGCACCACAAGTACAAGTAATTTTCACCTGGTTTAAGTCAAGTCGACCAATACATTCTCAATCACTGTCCCTTTTTGTTTTTCAGAGATGAGAATCATTCTATCAATATTATGTTAATATGTACATGTTCTGTAAAACGGCTGCACATTAAGTTTACAGAATGTATACCGGAACGTAGTAATTTTCTTCTCCTTCGTAAATAGCACACGATCGAAAGCACCGCTACCAATAGAGCAGCAGTACTGCCAGAGCCAATCCATAACCACTTATCATGTGCTGCATCTAGTATCGTAACATTTAATTAGAACACATTTGTTGTCCCTCATCCTAACTTTCAAATTACAGTCTGCCATACAAATGACCTAAAAAAGAAAATACTACTGAAAAGAAAACAAAGAAAAATTCTTGCATATATGCATACACACTGTGATTTGTGATAAGAAGGAATACTTCGAATTATTGTGATCAAAGTGAACTTCCGCAGAAACTAAGAAGCTGGAGTAATCTAGAGTCTCACCTTGTTTAAGTGTGTCCGTGCCGCTTGCACCACAAGTACAAGTACTCCATATTAAGATCGAAAAAATGATGAAGACAGTTAAGGTGAGACTGTACCTAGCCATGATTCAGTACCGCAGCCACAAGATGTACTTTGTGATCCAAACAAAGACTTAAACCTGGCTGAAAAACTCAAATGGGCTTCTGCTGGTGTACTTCTGCAAATTATTCTGACCAAGGTACCTGTCTGCAAAGGAAAAGATAACCATCGTCTGTAAGACAGGTTTCCATTCAAAAACATGCCATATTGAGGTCGCTTAGAAAAGGATGATGCAAGATGCCTACTTAATTTTTCCCTAAGTCAAAGTGGTGGAGCGAGGAAAACTATCATGGGGTTCAACCTCAAATACTAAATACTAAGGCAAAAAAAAAGAAAGAATTCATTTAATAACACAACTCCTTAGTATTGATTCATAAATCATTAATTCCAAGAGACTTACAAACGACATCTAGTTCTCGCAGTTTGAAATTTTTATAATCACTTCATTATGAACAGTATCAAATATATTTTTCTCAATATATAAAAAATTTATCAATAAACAACCCACAAATCAGCCACAAATAAACAAGGGATTAGGCAATAATTGCACAGTTAGGGTTAGAAGACTTGATTGATTTGTTGTTTCAATAAAACCACAAAGAAAACGGACGAACTTTGCCCAGCTAAGTGTATGGATGTTGTGGTAGAAACGTACAACTTTAGGGTAAAAAAGAAAAACCTGACTTGATCCGAGAAAAAGGGTACAAGTGAGTGATGCATAGCAGAAAAAGAGAGGGCTAGGGAATAGAAAAAGTGGTTGTTTCAATTTGATAATTGTCTGTTTTTAAGTAAATGACAGCTTTTCTGAGAAAGGTCAAATGAACATAAATCAAATAGAAGCATGCATGGGAGTTCTGTATAATTAAATAGAAGCATGCAGACCAAAATCTGCAAACTTGATTCAAATGAACATAACCTACCTTACCTTGAAACATGTGCATGTGTATAATTACTGTTTGAGGCTCCGAAAGCAAATTAATGAACCTTTAACTAAGAGGGAAAACGATGAGATTATTGTAATTAGTCTCTAATGGGATGGGATTAAGTAGTCCAAGTCCAGTGAGATCCCACATATTTTTGATAAGATTAATTAATTAAGTAGTCTGTGGGCGGATCACTGCACTAAGAAATGCGTGGTTGACTTTTAACCATCAAAACCTCCTCAAGAAACCAGTCAAGCCGGAGCCAACAAAATTACTTTAATAAAAAGGGTAGACCTCAACATCAAAGTAATCTTCTGCGTGGACTGCAGATGTAAACTTTGCTTAGTCTTCTTTAGTTTTAAAATTAGAAAAGTTATATTGATCCAAATTTCCATTGAGAAGTTAGGTTTAATCCTCGGATTTGGTGACTTTGATACAAGTGTTTTGACTTTTGTGTCACATAGGATTACGTTCCTTCTTAAATATTTTCTTATGTAATATTTTTATTTTTAATTTGTAAAATCATTTTTTATTCCAATATTGCCCCTTATGCCTTGAATCGGGTAATAGTAATTGATTATGTGATAATAATTAGCCATTTATGATGTTTGTCATTGAAGAAAAGGAAACCGCCCATCATGCCGCCCCACCTCTCTAACCACCACCACCACCACACCCCCCCCCCCCCCCCCCCCCCCCCT